TTCAACCCTTCCTGAAAGGAAGAAGGAATTTACTGCTGCCTCATCCTCTCCTATATATCTTTTCCTTGAAGTTTGACATCAGTAACTTCATTCTGATGGGGTAAGAAACTCAAACTAGTTACTCTAGACTGTCATCCTTATGAACTAGTTCTTGAGACTGCTGGCCTTTTTCTAGAACCTGGCAAGATGGATACGTTTTTAAAACTGCTCTTGAAATAATCCATCAATACTGAATAGGAGGGCTCAGCTTCCTCATTATAGGTTGCCCTTAATGACAAGTGAGTAGTGACAAGTGAGTATGTTCTGTGATGAAATAAACACTAATAGATAAATTTGGAGAAGATGCACAGAAGTGCTTGGAAGTGGTGCTGAGCCACTGGAGCTGAATATGTTTTGCATGTGTTCAGCCAGATGAGTAGAAATGTTCTGACAGATATGGAGGCCACAAGGCTTACAGAAGCTGCCCTTGGGACTGTGGTGGACTTTTCTCTCCTAAGAACAAGCCTGTCTTGATTGACCAACTGGATGTAGTTTTTTTCAAACCAAACTGCATTAGATATTCATGTCCATAAATGATGAACTTTCAGCTATCTGATTATTTTGGATTTTTACCTGCATGATAAAAATCGTATTTTAAGGGTTCAAGTGCAGTACCTTGTGATTTTCTTCCAAGTTTGTGAGTGTCTCCTAATTAAATTTCAGCTCCTTTACAGTTAAAAGGATGGTTTTTCAGCTTAAATTAAATTTACAGTAGAGATCTGGTGTCCCCTAGAACAGGCAAGTTCTGTCTCCTGTGTTTGCAAGCTACCACATGTGCAATGAGCAGAAGGGCCAGTAGCCCCTGGCTGTGTGCAGTGCTGCCCATCCAGGCCAGGACATTGGTTAGGGTCCAGTCTCTGTCTGGAGCAGTGCCTGAGCCTTTGGAAAACCTTCACACCCCCTGCTGGAGCCAGGCTTCAGCTCTGCTGCGATGAGCTGCTGCTCAGTGACGCTGAAAATGGAGGAGATAAGTGGCCTTTAAAAGGGTGTCCCATGGCAAAGGTGTTAAGACCTTTTTAAAAAAAAAATCCTCTTGCCTTTCTTAGCTCTAGATTTCCTAATGCTAGAATAAGCACTTACTTGGATAGTCCCATCAATTGCAGGTGACAGATGGTGTAAGGTGCTTCCACGGGATCAGAGGTAGCTCAGGGTTCCTATGGACTAACTTCATCTGGGGAAGAGTGATAAATCTTGCTACTAGACAGCATTCTAGTTGCCAACAGTGAAGTGAAAGTGGGATCTGTGCCCAAGTGTAGAACAATAGGTTATTGGTACAAACCTTGATCTGCAGGATAGCGGCAAGTAGGCTCAATTGGGTCACACTAATTCTTGGTTTTTTTTCTCTCCAGGGTTGCAGGCCACCCACTGGCACAGAATGAGCGTTGTCTTCACATGTTCTTACAAGATGAAGTAATAGATAAAAACTACACACCATCCAAAATAAGGCATACTTGAATTTTAAAAGCATCTTCTCAAATATTAGTGGTTATTATGCTTGGTTTTAAGAGGTTGTAGTTTGTCTTAGCATGCTGAGGATGAACAGGCACGAAGTCTCCACTAACACCAGTACACTGCTTGGTCTTTGCATATGCTTTATAGCATTTAAGAACTCACTTGTCTTCTAGCTAAATCCCTCTGAATCCTTGATTTAAGAGTATTATACTATGAAACCATCCACCCCTTGCAATGTCTCACAAACCTTTCCACTATTATTTGCAACGACTTAACAATGTTTACTGACTTGGCCTTACTTGAACTTTCACAACTGTAGTGTCACGTGTTCACTTGTATTTGACTAAACTGCTATGCTGTTTCTGAGGTAGTCACCTGTCTGAATGTCTGTAGAAAGAATGCTTTATTTCTGATATCCTGTATGAGAAACACTTATGCAATTGTCTTCAAGCTTGTAAAACACTTTATACTGAAGTAATGAGGGAATTATCTTTATATTCTGTAAGAGGAAAAAAATGAATTTATATACTAAAGTAACTTGTCTAAAGTTTTGAAATAAAAGTGAAAATGCACTTCAAATGTTTTGTCACTCTTGACCTTGAGTGTGGAGTGTCTCATCCTTTCTGAGGAGGAGGGGTTGACTATGCTAAGTGAACTAGTGTTACAGCTTCACTGTGATGCTCTTCCACAGTGTGGTTGTGTATTACTAACAGCCAGCACTAAATACCCTTAGATACTGGCACCTGCTCTGGAAGTGTTAAAGAGCACATAAAGGTATAAAAGGCTGTTCCTGTGTTGTGGAACCAAAGCTGGAATACCACTCGTGAGAGGCAATCAACAGATCTGTGACTTTAGTAACTTTGGGAAAAGGGTACCTTTCTGCCTGGCATGAGAAGCATCAATCCAGCTTCAACTAGGTAGTGAAAACTATGCCATCCTATAGAAAAAGGAATGTTTACATAATTTATATTATGACATCATTCCTAGTTTAAAATAGCTCTGCTCTACAAATAGACTTAGGAACATAAAGTCATACAAGTCTGGTGTAAGATGTGATCGTAGACCACAGACCAGCATTGTGCTGCTTTGACCACTGGTGCAATGTAGGTGCTGGATGGCGGAACTGCAGTTCACAGGCAGCACTGCTGAAGTTGTCTTTTATATGGGAAGGAAGTGAGCTAGAGAAGCTTCTTTAGTCTTCAAAATATGACATGGAAGTTGCCTGTCCAGATGCTCTTGACAGCAGATTCCAGGATATTCTAGCAGCAATCTGCTCTAGAGTTTTGTGCTATTTGGTAGCTATGTATTGGCTTAGACTCAGCCCTGCTGCTTTTTTCCTTCTTATGACACTTAATCTCTGTAAAGAGCATCCTAGAACTTTCTGGCAAAATTAGTAGCTTCTTTTAACTAAGACCATTAACCTCATTTATGGAAATCTGAATGTAAAAGACTGAAGTGACAAGGCGGTGGCTGGCTGGCTGAATTACACATAGTACTATTGATTAGCTGCACTGAATAGATAGATGTTTGAAAAATTGCTCTGCATAATTTAAATTTAGGTGGAAACCTCATACTTAACTGGGACTATGCTGATTCTCTCTAACTGTTCTATTCATGAAACCAAAGACCAAAACCAACAGTCCATTTGCAGCCCAGGGCTATCGCTTTTCAAGATGTTTTTGATAATGTAAATAATTTCTGAATTTCTCTCTCCTTGTTGAATCACCCCTAAAAGTTGAGTTATTCTTGAAAAGAGGGAAAGAAGGATTAAATATATTGAAGTTTCATTATGTAGGTTTAGCTACAGAGTAAGTTATTTTTCTTCTCTCAAATGTTATTTTCTGAGAAGCTTCTTTCAGAAATCAAAGTAAATGCCACATCTTAAACCTGAAAGATGATGACACAATCTCTATCATTTGCCATGAAAGAAAAACTAAAATATTTAAGCTGAAGAGGGAAAAGCTGCGTGCTTGATGTCAAAGTATTCCTATTTTCAAAGTGAGGACTTTGGAGCGTTAGTCTCAGAATGACAGGGCATTTGCATAGCACTCTGGGATCTCACCTAGCCTTAAGTCCTTCAAGGCTAGCTAGAGACCCTAATCCTAGTGTGGTGCAACTGGTTGTGCTTCAGTGCAATGTGCAGCTGTGGGAGCAAGACACAGTCTGAGATTAGCTGTGCCTAAACCATAGGGATCTGGGCCTTGTCCCAGCTTGTGAGTCTGCTCTGCAGCTGGGCCAGGTCTTGCAGGTGAGAGGATGAGATATGGGTGTGGTCCCATTGCCCTGCCTGCTTTGCCAGTACTCTCTGTCTTGTCCTCTGGCCTGGGCAACAAGGGACTGCAGCAAACTGCAGGGTGTGATTGCCTGGTTGCCTAGCAGGGTGGATGTAGTTCATGCTTATTGCTGCTCTGGGACAGCAGCATGAATCTTGCTGAAATGAATGTTCTGTGATGGATTCTGTGCAGCACTGGGTTTTACTTCTCTAGCTCATAGACTAAATTGCCACAGAGTTGGAGAACTGCAATTGATTTTTCTACCCTACTAGATTCTTTTCAGTGTAGACAGCAGAAGATAGTTGGAAATTATTACAGATGCAGGAAGAATGAATTATAAACAGTTTGTTAGTTTCTTTCTAAGAATGCACTCTGCCCTATGGTAAGTGCATTTTTAAGTGCTCCAAGCTAGTTTGTATAGAAGATACTTTGAGGTCCCACAGCCTGTGACTCATCTTGTGTATTTATGGACTGTCTGTCTTGGAAAAGATAGAATGTGAGACCCAGCAGACTGCAAATGGAAGAGAGCTGGGGTTAAAACTTTGACCTCTGAAACATGTGAGATTTTTGAGCTTGGAGGTCAGCAGAGCTAGGATTTCACTTGTGACCTGTATTCCTTGACACTGCAAACCAGTGAGCCATCAATACACACTGTATATTTCTACCTGTCATTTTAGCGTGCATAGTTCTTCAGTTACTCACTGCCATATGAACAATGCATTTCCCTCCTACAATTGCCAAGTTGTTGTGTTGATTAGGAGTTGTTTCCCTCTTTTTTTGGTGTGATTATGCAGTTAGACACCTTAATAAAACCTCAGTCCTTTTAATTGAAGCGGTGCTTTTGTACTCATCACCTTTTGTTAGCTGCACAGTTCACTGGTACTAAAAATTGTAATAACATGCAACAGAAGGCACATACTAGACCTCTGATGCACTTAGTGTTGTATCCTAGAAAAAGCTGCCTGTCACCTTCTTGAGAAAGAAGGTGGTATTTATTTGGCAGCTGGTATTTATTTGGATTAGAGAAAATAGCTCCATGTAGGATCTCACAAGGCAGGATCACCTAAGCTACTCCTTTAGTGTTTGTCTAATCTGTTTTTAAAAACCTCTGATGATGGAAACTCCACAGAATCTAGGACAATCCATTTTAGTAAAGAATACTTCTATTCCCTGGTAAGTAGGGGACAGTGAAAGAAGCTGATTAAGGACAACGGTTAAAAAAATAGTGGAAATTAATTTAAATTCAATATATTTTTATTCTTTGTAAATACAATGAGTACAACTTTTTAACTTCACAAATCGGTTAATCCACTTTGTACAGGAAAAGTTTTACTCATTCTATGATAGTTCAAGTGCTGATCTTTCTCAGTGCTAGTTCCTAATAACAAATCAAATTTTGAAAAGTACAGCAGCTATCTTTAAATGTTTTTTCTTTCTACATTATTCGTACATCAAATAAGCAGCTTATAACATTTTTGTGTGTGAGAGGGTGTAGGCGAACAAGGCTTCAAAATTAGAACCTGGAGTTTTCTAAAAAGGCATTGGAGACTTTTGGAAATTGTTAGCATTGTATCAGTCAACAACCTTTATTTCTTTGAAATAAAATTCCTTCCATTGATTTTTTTTATAGTCATTTCATTTCTCTGCACATCTCATTGACAAAGAGTTTGGCCACCGTTGCCTTTGGTTTCAGCACTGTGCCAACGGGATAGCCAGCAGATCACTGAAGCGGTCATCTCCATTGTATTTGGTTTTGCTGTTTTAGTCTTCCTTTCTTGTGTTGTCTCTTTTCAGGTGTGGGTGGGGGTGTGTGTGTGTGTGTGTGGGTATGTGTGTTTGAATGTATGTCTGTGTGTGGAAGAAGGGAGGGAAGGTCGGGAAGGAAATGTATAAAGCTCTTCTGTCTTTGAGATGTTAACCGAACAAATTGTGGTGACATCTGCATCGAAGATCACCAGTTCACTTTGTAGGAAGAATGGAGCTGCCGTCATAAGCTACCTTTTAATCAGTTCTGAAGGCCACTTCATGATGCATTATAGCAGAAGCAATGTTTTGGTAACTTGGTCTCAAATGTTGCCTATCGTATTAAAAACATTTTCCCAACATAGGCTACTTTTAAAACAATTCTGAAGGCCACCACATCTTGTGTTACAACAGAAGCCAAGTTTGGTCACCCGGTTCCAAATACTGAACAAGCTAAAGTACCTTCTTTCACATTTTGTCTCAGATCTGCCAGTTGAATGAGAGAATAGCAGAGTCTTTGTTAACTATGACTGGCATCTGAATTGCCTCCATCCTGTAGTAACAGGAATAGCAGCCAAATTCCAACCACTTTCACTTTTTCTGTAGAACAAAGCATTCTCTCCATGATCTAAATCACTCTGTTCAGAGCAGCAGAATCATATCTACTGGGGTATTTTTGTCAATGAGTTTAAGGACTAAACATTCCCAGGCTTATGCTTCCTGTAGATTTTGTTAGTTGAGGCTTATTCTCCATAGATAAAAGTTCTTCTCAAACTGTCCATCCTGATTGTTTCTTTTAAGGTAATTTATATGTCACTGGATTTGTACATATCTGAAAGCAGTCTTGTAATTGGTACATTCCCAATGGTCTTTTTGAAAAACACTTCTTCTATTGTAGATGGACTAATTGAACGTAAAGCTGGTAAAAGCAATAGAAGTTTTCCAAAACGACAGGGTTGTGTGGGATACCTAGAGGCAGAGAGAAAAAGAATTTCATTGAAGTTTTAAAGTATTTTTTCAAAGGAAGGACTTTATTTTATAGAAAAAGACCAATATTTACTAAATCGCACAGGTGATGCTACCTATGTGTCCCAGTTTGAGAAAAATTTTGGAGGAAACGCCAAGCTCAACCTAAGTGCAGTCTGCATGGTCTAGATTGACTCAGAATCTAGTGGGATACTATTGTCACCCCAGGACAACTGTGCCAAAACCCTGTGTTTTATACTTGTGTGAGCAACAAGGTTGACTCCAAGGAAAACTCTCTGTGGAGGTCAGCAGAACACGGGACAAGCTTTCTGAGTTTTGTTTAGCTCCTTTGTTCATTCCCCTAGAGCAGTAGGAATACAAAAACTGGACCTGCTCTGATGTGTCCCTCATACAGCAATGTTCTCAATGCAATACAGGGAAGAGCTTGAGCTGAAGTAACTGCCCTGTCATTTGAAGTACAGTTTAGAACTAGCTGGATTGTCATGGTAATCACCCCCTTTTGGTTAGCAGATACATTGTATACCAATTGACATTTGTAGAGTTTTTGTTAAAGAAGTTGTGCTTTTCCCCAGGTAATGTGTTTGTGTATAGGATGTTTTCTGTCCTTTCTCCCAGCTTTTGAAGCCAGCACAACACAGGATGTGCATTTTTAGCTGTGCTTATGCTGTCTTTACAACAGTGATTCTCAAACTTCTGCTTACAGAGGTCTCCCTAAAGGGAAGTGTAGGTTGTTTGGAGAAACATGCTGCTTCCCCAGACTGCCCTCCCTTGCATCCTCTTGAGAGGAACTCCACTGGGATCAAAGGGCTGATACTGCAGTGATATTGGCAGGAGGGTAAATTCAAGCCTGAGGATGAAACACACAGGCTGAAAGCCCTCTCACAAGGGAGTCTGAGTGAGAGTCCTGTCAGTGGACTGCACATTTCCCTTGTAAAAGGATATTGTTTACAACATGCACTGGGTAGCACAGTATCTAAATACTTCTGGCAGCACAGAAATACTGTGGAAAAGTTGATTCCTTGGAAGGGAAGATGTGGCTATATATTCCTCCCTGGCACCTCTCTCTAACAGGCCCTGTCTCACTTAAGGTCTCCAGGGAGCAATATTCATGAAAAAGGCCTTCCTTAAGAATAGGAAGAGACCACTATGCAGCAGTTCCTCTTTTTGCTCTGAAGCAGCCATAACTGGATGAAATTTGCATTTTTACTTCCATCCCCAGTGCAGGCCATTGCCTGTAGACTAATAAAAGTACTTCAGAGACTGCTACCATCTAATCTCTGATACTAATAGGGCTTCTGCCTGACAGAGCTACTATGACAGAAAATCAAAGTTTCAGAGGGAAAAAAATGTATAAAAGTTCCTCTTCCACTGCTCCATCTCCAAATGTTTTAGTCTCATGGACTTCCACTGCAACTAAAGGACTTTGCTGCAGCACCATAATGGGATTCACAAATTCTGGGGTTTTCATTTGAACCTGACCACAAACTCTGGGTGACATCTTGGAAGAGCCACTTAAGCTCCTTGTGTCCTGATTTCTGTGTCTGCAAAATGGAGGAGGTTATATGGGAACTGGAGATCATGTATGAAAGGCACTCATACCAACTGAGATGCAATGTTTTGAGCATCACTTTTAGTGGTATTTGATTGAATAAAACATAGAGGAAATTTAGCCCTCTGAACTGCAAAATGTTGCACAGCCATTATCACTTCCCAGAGGAAGAGCTCTCCTTTTAACACCTTTCTCTTTGTTTAAAAACACCCATGTGCTGGAGCACACTTGAAGAGGAGCAACAAAGGTGGTTAAGGGTCTAGAGCACAAGTCCTGGTTAAGGGTGTAGAGCAACAGCTAAGGGAGCTGCAGTTGTTTAGTCTGAAGAAAAGGAGGCTGAGGGGAGGCTTTATCACTCTCTACCTGAAAGGAAATTGTAGTGATGTGGGTTTTGGTCCCTGCTCCCCGTCACAAACAATAGGACAAGAGAAAATGGCCTCAAGTTGCACCAATGGAGGTTTAGTTTGGATATTAGGAAAAATTTCTTTCCCAAAAAGGTCGTCAAGCATTGGAACAGGCTGCACAGGGAAGTGGTGGAGTCATCATCCCTGAATGTATTTAAAACGTGTACATGTGGCCCTTGGGAACATGATTTATGGTGGACTTGGCAGTGTTAATGGTTGAACTGAATAATTTTAAGGATCCTTTCCAACATTTTCTATGGTTCTATTTCAGAAATCCCAGCAGGCTGGCAGCCAATGTATACTCTCCGTAGCAGCCTGGTCCCCATTTCAGTCAGTGCAAATGCCACCTTGTGTGCAAGGAGAGCAGGATTTCACCCCTCCACCTGCCAGAAGCACTGGCAGAAGACACCACTGACCTGGTGTGAATGTAGCTGTTCAGGGTGAGCTGGGCTTCGTCTTGAAGGGCTGCTATGGCAGCAGCATTTCGGAAACTCCTCAGTTCAGAACCACTGTGTGTGGGCACTGGAAAGCAGATCAGTTACTAGTTCAGCTTGACTCTTGGGTGGATCAAAACAGTTCAGCTAGTGCTATCAATGGAAATTAAACGTTCCCATTAGTTCCCCAGCACTCCACTGTCAGCCCTTTCAAAATGCAGCAATGACTATTGGAATTCAATACAGGGAAACCTACTGGGTGATTCAAAGCTATGCCTGGTTCAAAACATCACTTCAAAGCAGCAACCTCATAGTTATCAGACCAGACAAGTGAGAGATCCTTTCTGCTTACCAGCTTTAAAAGTGACAATGCATTTGAGACAGGCAAATTCAGTAGCATCTAGTCGAAGTTGTCTAAATCTAGCCACAACCTCCTGTAAGGCCTGTATTTCTGAAATAATTTTATTCAGCTTCTGAGAATCTGTATTGTCACCGTTCATGCCTGAAACAGAAACAGATGAAATAAATAATATTAAAGGCATTTGCTTTATTTCATATTGATTTCTGACAAAATCCTCTGTATCAATGTCCTCTCTATTGTCACACTTGTCTATCTGGTTCCATGTAAACTGACTATATTGTATGAAAGTTAATATAAAATCTTCTCTTGGATGATAACAAACACAGTAATTTGCATTTAAATGACAATGCAAGCAGTCATGAATACAACAAAACAACATTATTTGCATTTAAATATAGATTTATAAATGACAGGTATGCTCTATTGTTCAGTAGGAATTTGTTATTCTTTACATGTTGTTCTTTTTTCAGTAATGTATTTTTATGGTAATTTTTGTAACAAAGTCATTAAATTGTGCAATTCTTACCAGATACAGCCAGTAGAGTGTTAGCATCAACTGGAATGGCCCATTGTGCTATTCCTAGAACAAACAGTTCTCTCCAAGCATCTTCCAAAAGCATCAGCTGTCATACAATAGATGTACAATATAACATAGTGTATAATTTATAGATTTATAAACAATTTAAATATGTAAATTTCTGTTATTTTAAAAACTACTTTAAATGCCTGTCATGGTATTTCCCCCACAGCATTCATTAGCTCTTCTCTTAGCCTTTTGAGAAGGTGTCTAGAAAAAAGTCTATGCATTGTAGAAAAACACTGAGGGTTGGCTCACTGTGCACCATGTTGTGGACCAAAAGGGAAGAGAAAGAAAGAGAGAATTCTTTTCCCAGAGCATTTGCTCACAACATGAACACACCTGCTTTCTCAGCATGGTATGTGTTCTCTTCTCCTCCCCCTCAGCACTTAAACAGCTATTCTAGGACAGGTCTTTCCTCTTGATCTCTGGGGATTACACTCCTTTCCCTCCAGAAGGCAGGATTTTGTGAAGAAAAGCCTGGATAGCATCCTGGATCAGTGTAGGGAGCAGTGCTTTAGAGCACACATCCATCTTATAACCCCTTCCTTAGTAAGCCACTCTCTATATCTGTCAAGCACAGCATCTGAACACACGAACATCAGTGTCACTTGTTTTTCTGGTTTTTTTTGCTTAAAATCACTCAGAAATTCCAGGCACTAAAAGCTGTTTCCTTTCAGAGATGTGAATATCCAGGCACCTATGCTGACAGCATTGCTAGTTCTCTGCAGTTTTTGCACATTGCATGTCTGTATGGAGGATGTGTTTTTCTCTGTTTTCCCTGAGGCAATGCTTGTGATTTCCCTGAAGAGGCAGCGGTGCATCTGAAGAGGAGACAAGACTTCTGGAAATGCAGACTGGCAAAGCCAGAACAGACATATTTAGTCTTGAGGGCATCTGTGGCTTGTTAGATTGTTAGCTTAGACCAACTCTTAAGAGAGGATTGGAGGATCTCTGGTTCAGCTGAAGTGCATGGCCAAAGGGCACGTGGTAGTGTGTACATGTTGCTGAGACCTTGTGTCACAAAATAGGGTGGGAGAGATTTGAAGGGGTGAGAACTGTAGTGGGCTCAGAAGATACCTTCTAGCAGCTCCATGCAGTGAAAGCAGATTGCCCAAAAAAAATGAAGCCACCAAACCAGAACTCCAAAACCTGCAGTCATTGATGTTTCTATGGTCCCTGAAACTACCAGCAGCTTAGCTTCTTAGGAAAAGAGGAAGGAGGTTATTTGAAGTATGTAAAGAGTCTGTAAAGAAGAGCAAAGTAAAAAAAGATGCTGTACCAAATGAATGATGATATCCTTGGAATCAGGTATGTGAAAGTAGTGGGTGATACAGAAAGCATCCATAACAGCAAATCCTTCATCTATGTGCAAACTCTTAACAATACTGCTATTCAGGACAGTGTTACTTGTTGCCAGCCACTAGTACACCAGGCAATGGACAGAAACTGCACAGGAAATTATACCTGAATATGAGGAAAAACTTCTTTACTGTGCACCAAGAACTGGAACATGTTACCCAAAGTGGTTGTAGAGTCTCTCTCAGTGGAGATATTTAAGAGCTGCCTGGACACAGTCCTGTGCCATGTACTCTGTGATGACCTTGCTTAAAGCAGGGAGGTTGGATCAGGTGTGATCCTTCCAACCTGATGCCTCCTGTGATTCCATGATTACAAGTTTTAAACCATCCTGTTCCAATCTGAATTCTCAACTTGTCACTGCAGGGTTATGTCCATTTCATGCCTTTTTGCCCCGTGTGCTTTGTGGAACTTCTCCATAACCTAAGGGAATTGTGACAGGAAGGTACTCGTGTCTCTGCATACAGTTGCTGTTTGAAACACTTACACTGGATTTCACAGTACCAAAAACTGCCCAGATTATTGCCTGAAATGGAGACGGGCAGGGAGTGCTGTGTCTGGAGTGTGGTGCCCATCTCATCATTCTTCTGAGAGCAGATGAACCTGCTCTAAAGTTTCCTAACCACTGCAGCCTGCAAACCCAGTTGCTCCTCTGGATAATCCCACCTGATGGATGTGCAGGTGTCTGTATGACATAGAAAATGATTTGCCAGCCTTTCATTTGCTTTTGTCATTTGCTTTCATTTGCTCTTTTTTTGTCATTCATTCATGCAGATACAATGGCAATGAATGGTGGTTCCTCGAAGATATCAATTTCAAATTTTTTTTCCCACTAAGCCTTTAAAGTCAGAAGACTTTAGAAATAAGAGACTATTCCAACAGCAAAAGCTTTCTTCATGCCTATGCATAAGTCTGTAAAACCACCAATTAAAATAATTCATGCTGAAGTCATACTCAGCCCTCTTTCTTCAAAGAAATAACAAATACCCGGCTTTCTGAACAACTGGTTTTGCTTCTTAATCAACCCCATCCTTGCTGTGACCTTTTGCTGGGGACCTGCATTGGGCCAACCTGTCTTACAGGTAATGTGGGCAGGTGTGCAAGCCAGCAGCACTAGAAGCATGGCATTCTTTGTTGTGTGGTTTCCAGTTCAAAATGGACTTATCTGTATGAATCTAGGGAAGGGACACAGCCTCTGTCTTACCAGAGGTAAAAACGCAGCAATGCTCAGACTTGTGTTTTATCAGCAAATTGGTTTCTATTTATTTCCCTGCCTCCAAGGTAAAACTGCCCCAGAGGTCTGAAATTACAGTGCACTTGCCTTTTTTAGAAGAGCACAAAAAAAAAAGCAAAATTCAGGAAAATATTTTAGTTTCTCCACAGCCAGATGTCAGGGATACCAAAAGAGAAATGCAGACATTTACAGCTGGGTCATTGTCAAATTAAATAAAGCGATAGTAATGTTATAAAAAAATCAACTGTATGATTATTCATTAAATAAGGTGATTAAAATCAGAATTATTTCTTCTCCAGCTCTCTTGAGTATGACAGGGGAATCATGCAGGAAGAGGCCCAAATCAAAGCTTTTGAGCTGAGCAGCTCTGAGTTTTGAGGAAGCTGACTTGCAATGAGCTACAGCAAGTGAGAGTGATGTTGAGCAAAGGCTGGGTTTTTAATATGTTCCTCACTAAGATTAGTCCCTGCTATGAAAGTGAAAGAGGTAGTGGGTTATTTAATGGGAGCACTGTGGTGCCTATGGTTGATAAGCAGGCTGTGCTTGGTCACACACCAGGGAGATCTCCCCTGCTTGCAGATCCTGCTGCCTCCTCCTCTGCACACGAACAGAGATGATGGTGTGGGAAGTGCCTCCCTGTTATGTCAGATAAACCCTTTGCCTAGGGAGCCTCCTGTGGACATCACTGGTCCAGAGATGGACCCAGTCTGCTCCTGTGTGCTGGGGCTGCTGCTGGAGCAGCGCACCTGCTTCTTGTCCCTGACACTTGAGCCTGTTTCTTTGGTTGCTCACTGTGAGAGACCCAGTGCTCCACAGGATTAGTGGCAGCAGAAGACACAATTAGAGAGCAGCAGGATGCCACTCTGGGATTCTTGTCTTCCTACTGGCATATGTGACCTTCCAGGCCCTATCTCATCTCTCCCCTCATCCTCACTGCATAGCAGGACAGCAGGTAGAGCTCAGCAGCATTCCTCTTTGACTAATTTCACAACAAGGATTCCAAGATGTGGGTTTGGTGCTAGAAAATAAGCATTTTTATATACCTTAGCTTTATAACACATTGTGACTATCATTATTTAGCTTTAGATTGAAAACATTATTGGTTTTCTAGGAAGCTCTTTTCTTGTAGCTCAAAATACATATTTGCATATCAACTGCAACACTTGTAATGTGCTTCTGGGGAGAGGAACTAGTTCCTCTGATGACTGCATGTAACATCTATGGCACAGTTTTTCTAGTTACCATTTTGGTAAATTAGCTCAATCATATCAAAGTAATAGATGTCTTTTATGATTGGAGCTTTGTGTAGATTTCCACCCTTCCATTTTACAATTATCTGATTACTTTTTTAAAAATTGGTGCATTATACAAAGCACACTGAGTCCTCATCAAGAATCAAGTCATTAAGAAATTGTTTCATCTTTTATGGTTCACCTATGATTTACTTGAGGCAAAGGGAAATTATCATAGAAGAAAACAAAACATATTAGGGAAGATTTTAATTAATGGTAAAAAATATTGGAGGCTGGCCAAATACTGCTTCCACCATATTGATGTAATTGTAAGCCAAGGTGAATAAGGAAAAAATGTTGTCTGTGTATATAGTTGAGAGGAGAGGAGAAGAAGAGGAGGAGGAGAAGGAGGATGAGGAGAGGAGGGGGAGGAGGAAGAGGAGGAACTGGTGGAGGAGGAGAATTGGTCTTCAGAAACAACCTCAGTCATATCCTGAGACCATAAACTTAACTAAGCATTTATCATCCCTAAATAGCAAAGTAAGATGCTATTTCCCATTTTATGGAAGGAAAAGTTGTCCTACAAGTAGAAAAGCAGTTTGGGCATACTAAGTTTGGTCTGCAGCCTGATGATTTCTCCTCTAGCACTTGTCCTTCCATAATATTAGTTTTATGTTAGATTCCTTTTTCCCAGATTTTCTTGATTTTTCACTTGCTTCATGAGATAAAAGTTGGAGGAAGGCAGTTTCTAAATCACTGCCTGGTTTTCAGGGACAGACTGAAACACTGCAGTGAACTTCAGAGCTGCTGAACTCCATTATGGATTTCAAAGTCTAGGGCTGGAAGTCCAGGACCCAATGTGAAGTCTGAGCCTTCTTTAATAGGCAGGCCAGGCCGTTGTCACTCCCACTGCCACTGCCTTACCTGGTCTTGTAAGGACAAGGTGGAGAAGGCTGGGACACTTTTGGCCCACTTGATGCTCATGAACAGAAGTCTGGCTGCTGACTCGCAGACGGATTCAGTGGCCACTTCGTACAGATACATCGGGGTGCCGTTGACTTCATGTGGGTACTAATGTCAAAGAGAAAATAAAGCCATTTCATACAGTGCCACCAAGGCAGCCTGGTCTTCCTCTCCCCTACATCCAGTGCTCCTGCTCATGACCAACACAGAGTGTTGAGAGTGCACTCTTGTGTTCTGCAAGCAGAGGGCATTGCTTGCAGTGGGCTCACTTCAAACTGCTCCTTGCTGCTTATCCATGTGGATGAGCTGTACTAAAGAAACTGTTCAGAGCAGGAGTTTGAAAGGAGAATGAAATTATTGCATCAGAAGGGAAAAAGTGTACCAAAATTATGTGTCATGCTTTACTCTGTTACACAAATAGAACACCTCTGATAGGAGAGTTAGAAGAATAAAAATTCAATTAACAACATGTAGTTTGTAACCTTGCTTCAGAAGCTGATTTAGCATTCCAGCCCTGCTCAGCAAAGCAGTAAATATTCATTTAGCCTAAACCTTCATCTTGTTCCCTGACTGCAACAGGTTGTAAGTAGATGCACAGAGCCAAGCATAACTATTTAGAGGCTGTGTAGGGTTTGAATGGAGTTATGTTTTCAAGTGTGTGCTACATTTTCTTGCCAAATAAATTATGATTCAGCATTTTTTAAAATTACCAGATGTCAGGGATACCAAAAGAGAAATGCAGACATTAAAAACTATAATGTTGTGACCACATTTATGATGGGTTCTGCCAAGCTATGTACCAGCTCTGAAAATGCAGAACTATTTAAGCAGTTTCTTCTGTGATTTTCTAGATGCTGTGAAGACACAAAATGCCATTGCAAATGGGCTAATGAAAAACATCACATTTCAGCTAATTCCTGTGCAGTTGAGGCCACAGCAGTGCTTCCACTGGGCTGCTCAGGAAATGTCACAACCAAGAAGTGCAGAGAGCCAGCTTAGCCAAGTTTGAGTTTTGTGTCTGTGGGGACAAGCTGCAGGCTTTGGTCAGTACACAAAGTACTTTCTGAACTACACCACCATGGAGACTGGCATTTCTCTGAAGAAAACTCATTCACAGGGATTGCATTCCTTGTGAAACAAGGTCTGAAACTGACTTGTGGATGGGCTCCAGGCAGGAAAAGCATTTCTGCATCCATGAAGGTATAAGAATGCGTGAGACAGGGTTTGTATGGAGCAGGTTATCAGCTGCTGCTCCTGCTGCATATCTCTTCTCCAGAGGGATTGCACCTCATCTCCTCACAGCCTTTAGGGGTGTAACAAAAGTCCCCACCACAACCCACAAAGCCTCAAGCCTTGCTGTTTGCCATGTCTACCCCAGAGGCAGGAAGGAGCCGACAGGTTGCAGGCACCTCAGCAGCAAGGTTTGCAGCCCGCGGGGGGCCAGGGCAGGGGCTGACCTTTGGGGTGGGCTGTGCCAGGCCCACCAGAGCCTGTCTCTCCGGGGTGCCGGTGACAGCGGCCAGCTCCAGGCCATGGGGCTCCAGCTGGGAGACGGCGGTGAAGAAGGCGGGTGCCGGCAGGGCGGCGGCGGGGAAGTGCGGGGCTCCGCCGCTCTCCTCCTTGTGCCCGCGGAAGTAGAGAGCCACCTGCTTCCGAATCGTCGACGTCCGGGGGCCCCGCTCGTGCTGCACCGCTGTGGGCACCAAAGAGGGGCGAGACAGTCACCACTGGGTGCCCCGCGCTGCTCGACCGGCCTTCCCTCCCTCCCTCCCTCCGTGCAATTTTAGGCGGCCAGCCCTGTGCCCCCCGCCCGAGGGGTGCCTGGGGAGAAGTGTCCGAGGGTGCCGCAGGATGGGAGGGTCATTCGGGGCCGGGCCAAGGAGACACCGGAGTGACACAGCGCTCCTCAGTTCAGAGCAGCTCCCTCCGGCTGCCCCGCCACCCCAGCCCCGGGAGAGGGGGAGCAGGTACCATCTTTGTTCATGTTGACCTCCAAGCACTTCTTCAGCCGGCAGGCTCGGCACTGGTTCCTGTGCGTCTTGTCCACCGGGCAGCCTCCCTGCAACACAGCCAGCCGTCGGGCCGGGGGCAGCAGCGCCCACCCCGCCGGGCCCGGGAGGCGCGGAGGGGCCGGCCCTGCGTGCGCCGTGCCGGGCCGTGCCGGGCCGGGCCAGGTGCTCGGCCTCGGGACAGGGCGGGCCGGGCGGGGCGGGCCGGGCCGCCTTCAGCACCCGAGACAGCGACGGCGGCACCGCCCCCTCGGGGCTCCCGCTGCACCGCGCATCCCTCCGCGATCCCAGCCTCACATCCCCGCGGGGACGCTGCCGGAGTGGGAAGGAGAGCGGCCGGAGCAGAAGGGGAAAAGCGGGGCTGCCTCTGCCTGGGCGCGGGCACGACACCGGGCGGCGTGTAAACCCGTGTTTGTCCATCGCCTGGCTGTGCTGAGGCTCACCGGGAGGCCGCCCCTCTCTGTCCTCCCGTACCCAGGCGATGTGCTGGCTCTGCCTTCCCCCTGCCCGCATCCCTCTTTCTCCCTGCGCATCTCCCCCATCCTCTCCGGTGGGCTGGGGCGGGGGGACGTGCAGGGGGACGCGGGCTGGGGCACCCCGCGCCCGGCCTCGGCCCGGGACCCGGCAAGGGAGGGTGAGGCTGCGCGGCTGCTGCATCTCTTGCTGCGGGAGTCTCTCTGTTGGTGGGGCAGGGGCAATGCGAGCCCCTGGGGAAATGCAGGGTAGGGGGTGCAGGCGGTGAGGGGGCTAGGCTGCTGCTGGTACCTGATTTCCTGATTTGCAAACATAGGTCCTATTCCTCCTGATGCTCCTCTTGAAAAATCCTGAGCACCCATCGCAGGCGTAAACCCCATAGTGCTTTCCGGAGCTGCGGTCCCCACACACTTTGCAAGGGATGTCTAAAATGCGACCTGAAAGCAGAGAAGGGAAAGAGGGAGAGAGAGAGCTCTCAGCAATCTGACCTCCGGAGGGATTAGCCCCAGAGCCGCAGTACAAGCAAATAATGAAGTGATTTTATAGCCAACTTTCTTTTCCTTGAGCAAGTGTCAGTTTTCTACAATGAGCATTATTCATGCCCCGCTACGTTTATTTGGATCTTCTATAATCGCCAAGACCCATTTTGGAAGGGAAGATTACAGCAGCGGGAGCAGCAGTCTTGCCTGCGAGAAGTGAGGATGAGGGGGAGGGGAGGGAACTCGGGGGGTTTGCTGAGGGGGGTGTGTGTTTCCCTGGCTTTCTGGCACTCGGCAAACAGGACGGCACTTTCCCTGGGCAGGAGAGCAGTCAGGAGACCGATGCACAAAATAAACCAAACCAAAACAAAATAAAATGATCGGGAAGCCAAGCAACCTCCTCTCCCCGCTAGCAACCCTGGCGAAAGGGGGCTGATTTTCACGGCAGGGAAGGCGTGCCATTCTCTTCACCCCAAAACCTGCAGCAAAACTTTCAGCCTCTGTTTTGTGCGCGGAGGAGCCAGCGGACCTGTGAGCCTGGCGGGCGGGCAGTGTCCCCCCGTCCCGCTCCGCTCCGCCTCGCCGCTGCCCCCGCTCCGCCGGGCGCTGCCTTCGCTCCGGCTTCCACTAGAACTGCAAATACTCTCAGGGAGGTGTAAAAACTCGTACAGAGACGATTGCAGCCCCGTTTAAGAAACCCGCCAAAACCCCACTCGGCTTCTGCCTTTTCTTCTTTTTTTTTTTTTTCTTCTCACTTCTGCTGTTTCTTTTTCTTTTTCTTTTTCTTTTTCTTTTTTCTTTAATTTTTTCTTTTATTTTCTTTTCATTTTCATGTTTCTTTTCCTTTTTCTTGCTCTCTTTTTCTTTTTACCTTAATTTTTTCTTTTCTTTTTATTTCATTTTCCTTTCCCTTGTTTTCTTTTTCTTTTTCTCTTCCTTTTCCTTGTTTACTTTTTCTTTTTCCTTCTATTTTTTCTTTTTTAAAATTTCATTTTCCTTTCCCTTGTTTTCTTTTTCTTATTCTCTTCCTTTTCCTTGTTTACTTTTGCTTTTTTCTTTAATATTTTTGTTTTCTTTTCATTTCCCTTCTCTTCTCTTCTCTTCTCTTCTCTTCTCTTCTCTTCTCTTCTCTTCTCTTCTCTTCTCTTCTCTTCTCTTCTCTTCTCTTCTCTTCTCTTCTCTTCTCTTCTCTTCTCTTCTCTTCTCTTTTCTCTTCTCTTTTCCTCTGCCTCAAACAGCCTTCTCCCCTCTTACCAGACCTTAAATTATAAATTCAGTCCCTCTCACCAAACCTCGGGCTCCAAACTCTAATGGAGGGCTCTCGGGGCCGATATATTTATTTGGCAGTAGTTCAGGGACAACCCTGGCTACGGGTGGGTGAAGATGGAGAGGGAAAAGCGGCGGCGTGCGGAGCAGTGCTGGGGGGCGGGAGGGGGCGATGGAAACAGGCCTCAGGGGCTCCTCTCGCTCCCTAGAGAATTTAGGAGTCCGAGATACTTTCAGACATGTCTGCGCTAAGGTTCTAAGACAATGCCTGCTGGCAGACAATAGGGACATTAGATAAAGTGTTAACTTAATGATTTTGCCCATTGAAACTCGTTTGACTGCCTCCAATGAGCACAAGCTGCCAGCTTCTCCCCTAAATGAAACCCGACAGCTGCTATACACAACACGGCGAGAGGGACGGGGATTAGGTTAGGGACTGCGAGAGGGAGGGGTGGCTGAGGGAGGGAAGGTGGGAGGGGGGGGAGAGAGGTTAAAGAATAGAAAAGTTTTGCGCAATTAATAAGGAGCGCAGCTGAAGGATGCCCCCCCGCACACCACTGCCTGCGAGTAAACCGCGGCTTTGGAGCTGCAGGTAGGCGCCCGTGAGGAGGGCTGAGGCCAAGGCACGGTTTCTGGGAGTGTGTAATTACAAGCCCTCCTTGCCACCTGCCTATTGGGGCACCAGTGACCCGTCAAAAAGTGTAGCATGGGAATTCGGATATCGCACAATGCAAACGGGGGAAAGCGCCCGACTTCCCTCTCCAGTCCTTAGCATCCACGGGGAGAGAGAGGATCCACACGCACGCACACAAAGGAGGAGGAGGAGGAGGGGCAGGCTGGGGGTGGGGGCAGACACACTGAAGCGGTACGTGCGGCGGTGGTGCATCCCGGTGCCGAGCGCGGCTCTGCCGCGCTGCCCCCGCGCACCCCGTCCCGGCGCCACTCCCTTTCCCGCGGCTCCGGGCCTGGGAACACCCGGTCCCGCACACCCGGGCCCGCCGTGTCACCGCCACCCGCCCGGGGCACCGCGCAGCCACGGGGTCCCCGCTTGCCCGGCCGGCCTGCGGTGTGGGGCGGCCGGCTCCTCTGCCGGCGCTTAAGTCGGCCAGTGGAGACGGAAAAAACTTGTGTTAGTTTTCCCCACATAGATTTTAAGTTTGGGAGCCGCTTTGGAAAAAAAAAAATCCTATGCACTATGTAGTACATATCCACACCATGCATATAAACACACGGCCCATGTATTCCTTACACGTCCCCGTATTCCTGCTGTGGATGGCGAGCACCTGGAGCACCTCACCAAACCCACACAAGCACGTTTCCAGCGGCCCGAGCAGCGTGGCCGGTCTGCTGAGCTCCGTGTCCCCGGCGAGGCGGGGGACGGGGTGGGGGGCACGGCGGAGGGAGCGGCCGGAGCCCCCCGCATCCCGCCTTTGCGGGGCCGCCCCGTCCCGGCCGCGCTCTGCCCACCCCCTCCGCCCCAGGGAGCCCCCAGCCCTGCCCCGCGGGGGCTGTTATGAGAAAACTTTCTTGCTGGGCAAAATATGAAATAAATAGACGGGTAAGAGGCAGGGCGGGGGGTGGGAAGGGAAAAATGTAAGCTTGACACGGGGTCATGCGATAACTGATTAACTCTGTTTAAAAGCGCTCCGGTTCCCCGAGGTACCGCTTCGTCTCAGAAGTTTTAGCGCTAAGAAAATGGGATTTCTGTTCAGCAGGGAAACCGTTTTGAACATCCCACGACAGGGGGTCCTTGGGGGCTTTTTTTGTGTGTCATAATTGCTTAAAGGATATATGGCAGCCCCGATTACTGTAATTACCATCAGAGGCTGTTGAAAGAAGTTAGTCTGGGCTCGGGGGACGGCGGGATGGGGTCTTGTTACCACCCAGGCAGACATCGCAGTTGACATCGCCGGGCGCCCACCGGCGGGCAGAAAAGCCAGGACGCAGCTCCCTCGCCCGGGAGCCCCTCAGGACCCCCGGGATGATCGCCCAGGCCCTGGGACAGCCGGTCGGGCTTTTGCATGCGCTGCCGAGGCCGGCTGGGCTCGGGCCCCGGCGCTGAGGAGACACAGCGTGTCCCCGTGCCCGTGGGGTGGGACTGGATCGGGCCTCGGGGTCCCTTTAGGGAGGTCCCCAGGGGTCGGGGGGTCACCAGTGAAAGCGGCGGCGGTGGCCGGGGGATCGCTCAGCGCTGTGGGGCCGGAGGAGCGATCCAGCCTGGCGGGTTTTCACCTCCGCAAAATGTCTCCGGCAGAAGCTCCGCCGCCCTTTGGGGACAAGACTCCCGGGGCTGCCTGCCCCTTCCTCATCACCCAGAAACCTGCCAGGAGCCCCGGCAGGTCCCGGCGCGGCTGCCCACGGGCCCGATCCCGCTCTGGCTGCCTCGCACCACCCGGGCAGCCTGGGCAACGCAGTCGGCCGAAGCAGCCCCGGCCGACGCAGGTTTTTTAGCCCCCGTCGCCTTCCCCGGTTACCCCAGTACCTTAGCACCTCGATTACAATTTTATTCTCTTCCTCGCGGGGCAGGGGCAAAAAGATGCCGCACTCAGCCCCGCGGAGGAAGAGGGCAAACCAGCGACGCCGAAGCGGCGGCAGCTCGGCCGCAGCGCCGGGGGCTCCGCGCCGCCGCCTCCTCCACGCGCGCCCTCCGCGCCGCGGCCCCCGCTGCCCCCGGCCCCGCCGCCGCGCCCCCGCCCTCCTCCCGGCTCCCCGGCCCCCGCGGACAAAGGGCGGACTCGGGTCAAAATAATGGAGGGCAGCGGCGAGGAGAAGGCCGCGGGGCTGGCGGGGGGCGGCCGGTGGCAGGTACCGCGGCGGGAGGGAGATTTGCCTCCCTTGGCCGCCACTCCGCAACCCCGGGAGCCTGCCGGAGCGCAGAGGAAATAGCTGTCCGATCCATCACTTGTCAGACATTAAATTGGATTGGGTATTTTTCCCCCCTTTGTTACTGACTCCATCCATATTACAAACTCCGAAAGTCCCATTGGGATTATACGAATTGAGCCATTCTGTACGAGCGGTTAGTCATGCTTTAAATTCCCCAGTTATGAGGTGCATGGATTTAGGATTAAGGAAAATGTGACTTTTAAGTTGTTTCTGCTTTCCTCGTTGCAGGATTATTTGTTGTAACTAGGAATGGTGTGCAAAGTATTGCATTTAAATCCTCCTTCGACTGAGTTGCTTACGCGATTCCGTGTAATTGAGTGACCGGAGTTTCAAACTCTTAAAAAGAAATCATTATGTCGCAGAAGGTTGCATAAAGCCCGTGAGAAAACCAGCACGTTTAAACGCCGAAATGCCTTTTAAACCCAAACCTTCCCCCTTCACCCCTGTGCCGGAGACCCGCACGTAACCGGCCGCGTCCCGGTGGGACCAGCCCCCTCCCCGCCGTCGGCGGAGTCGCCTTCCCGGGTGCTCGCTGCCCACGGGCTTCTGCCCCGGTTCCCAGCCCGGAAAGCCGGGGCACGCAGCTGGAAAACGGCGTTTTGTGAGCCCCAGGCCCAAACTCCATCGGGGCGACCCCGAGCCTATATATTCGTTGCCACTCCGGTTGGAAATATACACTTCTTTTTCAATTGGGCGCGGGGTGTGGGGGGGTGCAAACCCAAGCCACAACCCCCCCTCCCCTTCCTCTCCCTCCCCTCCACCTCCCGCCCCCCAGGCCAGGCTGCAGCCGGCCTCGGAACGGCTGCTCGAAGCCTCCACCGCGTTATTACCCACTTGTTGATCCCGCCGGCTTGCTCATGCTCGAAGCCCCCGTGAGTCGCTAAACTCGGGGCGAAGTGTCGGCGCCGGGGCGAGGCGGTGCGGCCCCCCCGGGGGCCCCCCTGCTCCTGCGGGCAGGTGCCTCCCTTGGGTGCTCACTGCTGGCTCCGCCGCGGGGGCCGGCACATCCTCGCCGCAGCCCCGCTCCCCCAGCGATGTCCTCCCGAGGGAAGGGAACACGCTGCGGGGACGCGGAAAGGGGGTGGGGGGCGCGGAAAAAAAAAAAAAAAAGTGGAGCAAAATGAAAAAAAAAAAAAAAAGGAAAAAAGAAAAAGAACAACGAAGTGACCCAAAGTCGGCGGCCGCCGGCTGCCCCTCTCCGAGTAGATGCTCTCGGGACCCTGGGAGGGTGCTGGGGGTGCGACTGTGCTCGCCACCGCGCTCCTGCAAGGCAAGCGAGAGCCACAGCAGCCAGGACAACAATGAGGCGAAGGAGAAGGTAGGATAGGGAGCGGGGCTCTGCGCCGAGCGCCTCGGTGCAGCAAGCAGGGAGATCAGAGCCTGGAAAAATAATGGAAGGGGGGAAAAGGCGTCAGAGGAGGCAGTCTCTGCCTCTCAGAAACTGAATGGTATAAAAAGGGAAAGGTTTCCAGAAGTTCATTACACTGGCTGACTTCGCGCTTTGAGCTCCAGGCTTCGGCCCCTATAATATCAGCAGAGAGGCTGTGACAGGCAGCGGCGGGGAGGGGAGAGGGACGCCCCTTGCCCACTGAGCTTCCCTCGCTTTCCCCCCAACTCCTGCCGCCGCGTGACGTCACCCCGCGCTGGCAAGGGGAGGGGGCAGGGAGGGGGTTAAATGCTAATGATATTAATGAACCCCCGAGCGGCTTCCACACAAAATGCAGCGGCTGCCGAGACGATTCCGCCTCCTCACTCGCCTTGTGCCCTCGCTGTCATAAAAAGCGACAACTCCCCACCCCCCCCTCCGCAAAAAACCAAAAAACCCCCAAACCAACAAAAAAAACAACAAAAACCCAGAAAAAAACCACAACAGAAGACAAAAGGAAAGCAGAAAGAATGGATCAAGATCCAGTTTCTTTCGCATTTTCCCGTGCTGAGGTGGAGCCCGCCTGCGGTTCGCCCCTGCCCTTGCCCTTGCCCCGGCCCGGGCAGCGGCTGTGCTGGCGGCCGGCGGGGTCGGCCGGGGTGTGAGCCGGGCCGGGCCGAGCCGAGCCGGGCCAAGCCTCCAGCTCTCCCTGAGGGCAGCCGGACCGCCGTCCTGCCGCGGGAGGCGGCGGCTGCCCCGGGGGGAGCAGGGCCGGCGGCTCCCGGAGGCGCAGGGCGGGATGTGCTCCCGCTGCCCGGCGCCGGGACTTGTTGCACGGCGGCCGTGCGAGGAGCCCGCCCGTGCCCGGTGGGGCTGCTCCGAGCCCCGGGCACCGCCGCCCTCGCTGCCCCCCAGCTGCTCGGCACCCCCGAGCGTCCCAGGAGCGCTGCCAGAGCCGCGGTGCAGGGGGCGGCGAGGGGCCAGAGGTGGGACCCTTTCTCAACTCCGGTTTCACCGAGAGGCTGCCGAGCTCTCCCACTCCTGCTGGGAACTGAGAGGTGAGAGCTGCTAGAGCAGCCGAAGGATGGTGAGAGGTGCGCATCTGGGGAGGAAGGGAAGACTGTCTCTGCTGCCGATGCAAGCTGGGCCGGGCAACGGCACCAGAGAGCAGGGGCGGCAGGTGCTGTCCCTCGGTCCCTTCCTCCTCATCCCTGCCACTCGTGTGATGCACCACAACTGACTTCCCCCTTGTTGGTTGTGATCCCGGGGGAATGCGATGCTCAGCCCAGCACCAAACACACTGTCCCCATCCTCCTGCACTTCATATTTCACCCTTGCGTCTTTCTATCTCAGGTTATGGGTGATTCCTCTTGTGCTGATACTGTAACTGTGTCGCAGGGCTGCGTGACTCTGGGCAGCGCTGGAATCCCAGCGGCTTTCTGCTCCTTGCTCCCCACGAGACCAGTGCATCCACGGCACAGAAGGAAGCCTTGAACCAGGACAAGCCTGGTCCTGCCTGACACTGAGGGACACGGTCCAGAGGACTGGGAAGTTGCTCAGGGAGATCTCAGAAAGCAAAGACTTTCAGGGATCAGGGAATGCAGACAAATTCACTCCAAATCTGCTTCCAGGGAGGCAGGGAAAGTTCACCTCCTTGAGCAATGTGAAAAGCAACAGGGAAGGAGATGCTGCATTAGCGAGGTCTGAAGGCCAAAAGAAAGAGGATTAAATGGCAGCAGGGCCCAAATCTGGCCCCGGGCATCCCCTGCTCTAGAGAGGCAGATCTCTGGCCTTATAGCAGCCACAGTTGTTTGTGTTGTAACCTCAAAGCCACCTCAAAAACACTGTAAAGGCTGATCAGATCATGTCCACAGGTTTCAGACACACCTGAGAGAGGCTGCTCTGACTGCAGGCAGGGGCTTCCCTCCCATGTACAGGCTCTGCCAAGAGAAAAAAAAGAGCTCAAACATCCCACCTCTCCACCCAAAACTCCACTAACATAACCCAGACACCCAAAGCTGGCTCTGCATGTGGGCTGGGGCTGCAGTTGCTGTGGAGAGAGCAAACCACCAGCCCTTCCCTATTTCCTGGCTGTGTCTGGCATTGCTTTATAAACCTGTACCAGCTGAGGTTTGTCCTTTGTCTCTTCAGAGCCTTTCCTGTGGTTTCTGTGATGGACAGAGATATCTCACTCCTGAAAATGACGGCAAGAGTACTTCCAAGAGTACAGGGAAGAGCTCTCACCCACCTCCAGCTTTTTGTTGCTGGTTCTATCAAAGCTGTTTCCTGGGCCATTTGGACAAAAAGTATTTCAGCTTCCAAAATATGAGAAATTACAGTTAACATTTAGTACTTGGAATGATTACCATTATTGCCATTTAACGTTTACCATATTGTCCTGTTTTTTGATGGAGTAGCAGTTAATTTTCTTTATAGTAGCTAGCATAGTGCTGTGTTTGGGATTTAGGGTGAGAATAATGTCAATAACATACTCATGTTTTAGTTGCTGCTGAGCAGTGCTTATACTAAATCAAGGATTTCCAGCTTCTCATACTGCCGTGCCAGAGAGTAGGCTGGGGTGTGCAAGAAGATGGGATGGGATGCTGCTGGGACAACTGCCCCAAACTGGCCATATGTATATCCCATATCATACAGCATCATGCTGAACAAAAAAGCTGGGGGGAGATGGCAAGAGGACTGGCTGGGCAGCAGTCAGTTGGTGGTGAGCAAATGTCCATCACTTTCACTGCATATCCTTTTACCATTATATTATTTTCCCTTCCTTTTCTGTTTCTTTAAGCTTTCTTTATCTGAGCCCACAAGTTTTACCTTTTATTTTGATTCTCTTCCTCACCCCACAGTGCTGGCAGTAAATGAACAGCTGTATGGTGGTTAGCTGTCTGTTGGGTTAAACAGAATTTGTTTATTAAGCAGGCCTACATATACAGAAGATACTAGTGCAGCAATGAAATTTACTGTCTCCTTCTACTGCCTTGGAAGTACAAATAGTTGTCAATCCTGTGACAGGAAATGGCATGTGCTCCCTTCCAAGTGTATCTCCTCCAGGACCCTGGACTCTACTGTTACATGGTGACATTTCTCAGCATTGTGCCATGGGCTCTTGCCAGGTTATCTTTTCTTTTCTTGGAGTATTAGCAGCAAAAAAAACCCCAGTGTGTGATCCATCTTCAAGTACAGCACTCCTGCCTTTGTCTTGCTTTTCTCCTCTGGTCTTTGGATGGGGAGCCAAAAGGTCTTCAGCGAATAAAAGGAAAAAAAGGAAACAGTGAAGAAGGTCAGGTGAGGAAAAAATTTAAGATGCCAGAGGTGTGTGGATATAGCAGCAGAATATATGGAAGTGGAGTTTTCATCTGTTTCTCTCAACAGGAAGCAGATGGGTGAGATAAGGCAAATCTAACAGACCTGTTTTCTTGGAAAGGTGATAAGGAGGGAAAGGATAGAGCTATTTTCTCCTGGGAAGAGGAGCTGCTCTTGCTTTGGGATACTTGAGAAGCTATCTCCACTCCCCTTCTTTGGTGCATGTGCTGGGTGATATCCAGAGATGTCCCTTGGTGCCCTAGGCACCCCTATGCAGGGAGCTGAGTACAGCAGCAGCCTTGAAGCATAAAAATACCTTCAGGGTTAAGTTCTTTCAAATCACCCCAGAAATCTGAGGTGCCTTCCCTTCTTTGTAAGTCACAGTCTGTGTTTTGGTGGCACCACCACAAATCCCTTCCCTGTATCCCCCTGCAGGCAGATGGATGGGCAGCATCGCTGGGAAAGCTGCTGAAGGGACCATGCTGCTCCTTGGCTGTCCCACCACACTCCTGGTGTGAGACATGGCTTTGCCTGGTCCCCAGCTCGGGCTGCTCCCTGTGTGGAAATGCACTTAACAAGCTCTTTTGTGGTACTGAGTTTTCCTTGCAAAAGCCCCTGCCCCAGGGATGCATTCCTGGGAGGGTCCTGCACTGTACAACCAGCAGTGGTGGCATTGGCCCTCCTCTTGTTCTTCCTGGGCCATCTCACTGTGCTGGTTTTGGCTCTTCTCTTGTTCTTCCTGAGCCATCTCACTACGCTGGTTTTGGTTCTTCTCTTGTTCTTCCTGAGCCATCTCACTGTGCTGGTTTTGGCCAGCGTAGGTGATTTTCTTCACGGGAGCTGGCATAGACCTGTGTTTTGGATTTGTGCTGGAAACAGTGTTGATAACACGGCCATGTTTTCATTACTGCCGAGCAGCATTTGCACAAAGTCAAGGCCTTTTCAGCCTCTCCCCCCATCCCATCAGAGATGGGGTGGGGGTGTGTGAGGAGCTGGGAGAGGATACAGGACCCCAACACACTAAAGGGATATTCCAGACCGTATGGCATCCTATAAAGCTGGGGAGGAAGGAGAAAGGGGAGGATATTTGTAGTGATGGTATTTACCTTCCCAAGTCACTGTTATGTGTGATGCAGCTCTGCTTTCCTGAGGATGGCTGAACACCTGCCTGCCCATGGGAAGCAGTGAATGAATCCCTTGTTTTGCTTTGC